TACATATGTGTGCGTGTATGTATGTATGTATGTATGTATGTATGTATGTATGTATGTATGTATGTATGATGTTTGTATGTGCGTACATATGTATGTATGTATTCATGTATGTATGCATGCATGCATGCATGCATGCATGCATGGATGGATGCATGTATGCATGTATGTATGTATGCATGCATGCATGCATGCATGTATGTATGTATGTCTGCATGTATGTATGTATGTATGTATGTATGTATGTATGTATGTAGGTATGTAACTATGTACAATATGAACCCGCACACCTAAACCTATACTATGTTTCTACTACAATATACCCGGACTCTCTATTCAAATCTTCAGGCCCCTAGAGTACACGGAACACCGAAGTTGGAATTTAGAATCAGGTGGGCCTCACTACTGCGATCAGTGCAGAGCTCGTGCTGGATCGGCCGAAGGAGCCGACTCTTCAGTTTAGGGTTTAGGGCTTAGGGATCCCCCGCAAAACTCCCTTTACACAAGGTCTCCTGCATATGGGTCTTATGACGGCCCTCTCGCACACTGGTCCCGGGTCCGAATGCCCGGATTTTTGTTCGCTTTCAAGGTCTGTGTGCAACTCAGCAAAAAGCCACCTGCAGAGCTTCCGCAACATGTAATCCTGCTGCAGAAGGCAGGTCTCTTCTGCATGTCGCCACAGATCCCCCAACACGTCGCCGCCAGGGGTCGCACTGCCTAACTGCTTCGTCACACGTCTTGCATGCACAAATCCCACGATGGGCCTCTTCCTCTCCAGAGGTCCCCGCTAAGTTACCGCCACCAGCAACCAGAAAAGTCACCGGGATGGACCGAACCGCAGCCACCCATTCCGCCTCCTCCACCTTTCTGGCTCAAACACACATGTCGGCTCAAACCCTATAATCCTTAAATCCTAAAACCCTATGCCCGCTGTGCAAATTTGAAGTTTTCCGGCCATCAAGATGCTCGTGATGTGCATGATGCTCATGATATCTCACGTTGATGCTCATGATGCCAAAAAACGGGGCCCTTTTCGGCCCCCCCTCGGGGCAACAATTTGCCCCGAGATGCCTCAGGGCACATATTTGCCTTGGGATGTTTTATATTGTGTTGTGTAACCAAAAATGCCCCTGTATGTCGAGCATTTTCCCGGCCCAAAACCCATATCAATTTTTATATACAGTTTCGATGGGGGTCCGCGGAAGGGTGTCGGGTCCCAATCGGGGCCCGCACCTGGGCCTGGGGCTCCCTCCAGCCAGCCAAGTTTTATCCGACTGGGCGGAGTGGAGCTCTACTGTAACTAGAGATAACAAAACTGCCCTGAAACTTACTGCCGCGTAACAATCCAAAATGGTTAAATGGGTGAGCCTGGCCTGATGAGGCCCCAGGCCACCCCCCGGTTGGCAGCGCCGGGTAACCAATTGCGCAGAGGTCGTATTTTGTCTGTCTAGGTGGCAGTAAGTTTAGGGACCCTAATCCCCAATTACCCTACAACTAGAAAATGGATCTGATGCTCATGCCTCATGCATGCTCGCCTATCCTAGGCAATCCTGCAGTATCTGTTTCGCTCGGCTCCTCTTGACTGGGGGTGGGGCTCGGCCCTAACTGCAACGGCTGCTTCGTGACAGTTTTTCCGGACTTCAAGTTATACTTCCTCCTTCTGTAAAATCCTAGGCCTGCGAAAGGTCGCCAAAAGACAAACCGCCTGAAGTCTAACCTTGCTTGCACGCACCAGTCGAGAAGTGTGCCAAGTCGAAACCCAAAATCCTAAACCCCAAACCTCCCTCCGATCCATTCTGCATTTGCTCCATGCGTCCGACTGGCGACGTCGATCTGCAGCGTACGACTCTCCACGGGCAGGAGGCCCAACGAGCTCAAAGCATTCAACTGAGTTTTGGGTTTGGTCTGGAACTTCAGATGCGACTGTTTCAGGCCCTAGGCCGCCCAGTGCGGGCGAAGGTTACATGAATTCCGTCCGGTTCGGACGAGTATTGGGTTGGCCGCCCAGTTCGGGCGAGTTGTTTTTGCGAAAGTCAAGCCGCCCGGTTCGGGCGTGTTACTTTATACCCTATACATCCAGCCGCTCGTGCGCACCTTCAAAAAAACCCAGATCCTGAAGCCAGCCGCCCGGTTCGGGCGCGTTACCTTAAACCCTAAACCAAGCCGGTCTCAAGTTGCGTGCCATATAAGTATATATATGGTTTTGTGACCGGGGGCCCGTGGAAGGGAGTAGGGCCGTGATAGTGTTGCTCACTCCTGGGCCCGGGGTTTTCTCCTCCTTGGCCTGTCCGCACCCGGCAAACCAACGCTACTGCATTCTCTACATTAGGTAGGGGCGGCTTGAAATTGGGACCCCAAAGCCCGTAACTTCGCTAGCAAGTGGATAGAGATGCTCATGATGGTCGCCGAATGTGTGCATACCTCAGATTTGCGGGCCACGAAAGTCGGGGCAACAGCATGTCAGCGCCGCAACACGTGACCACTCCAACACCGCCGGTGTCGAGACCAGTGCAGCATCTCAACACCACCCCAGAAATCCGAACGGTCCACATAGCGGAGGGCGCTTTGAAGGAACCGCCACCGCAAGTCGCCAGCCCCACACGATGGATGAGGACACCGTGTATGTTTCATGCGCAGCCAGGCTGTTTGTTTGCTATGGCGCTTTCCGCCAACGGCTCTCGTTGTGGCGCGGTGCACCTATAACCGCGATACTTCGCGGCGCGCGCTCTCCTGGCACAGGTCCCATGTGATCCGTTTGGCGTGAAGACGATCAACGGTCGGAGCATGGGCGCTGCATCCTGGGCGCGTATGGCGCACGTGTCCTTGCGTCGGCCCTGCGACACAAAAGTCTGTCTTCCTTTGTCTTTTTCGGATCGGGCGCACCAACGCTTGTCAAGCGGGGAATGGCCAAGCACAGCGCAATAATAGTGGGAAATGGGCATGAACTGTAGAAGTGCGTCTCGATTGCGGAGACTGTGAGGGAGACTTAATTTAGGGTAGACATGCAGGTTGCACCCCCGGAACCATAGGATAATTATAATATAGTATAGTAGATTATGGCATTCAGGCACTGCCGACCCTGCAGGATTTTGGTGTCGGTGTACAGCGCCCCTTGCGAGCGGAATGGTCCCTCAGTTGTGAACTTGTGGCTCCTGTTCTTGTGGGAACTTCTGACGTTGCATGGCTGCGGGGTCGCATTTCGGCAGGACAGGACACTGTAACAGGAGGGAGCAGGTCGTGATGGAAGGTCCATGCCCATGTTTTCATCATCGAGGTATTCTGATGTGTGTGATTTAAGGTTCCGTTGTCAAACTTGGCAATTCGTGACCGGATGGTTTCAGAATTCATGAACCTGTTTTTATATTCCCCTGAAATGCATTGCATGAACATGGGCTTGTTGATATCCTTGCTTCCTGTATGTTCACTGCTTGTCAAAAGCTGATACCACCGCAACCACGGGTGTTGGCTATTAGTGCGTCTACGACGATTAGCGTTAGCAGCTGCTTTTGCCCTGCTCCTGCTGCTGCTGCTGCTGCTGCTGCTGCTGCTGCTGCTGCTGCTACTCCTACTACTCCTACTACTCCTACTACTCCTACTACTACTCCTACTCCTACTCCTACTACTACTACTACTACTACTACTACTACTACTACTACTCCTACTCCTACTACTACTACTACTACTACTACTA